AATGTAAGTGCGTTTTTAGCTGGTCAAGTTGGGGTGGGAGGGTAGATATTCTTTCAGGATCTGAGCAATTGAGGCCAAGTTCAGAATGCTTGAGTACCACAGAGTATTACTTGAGTACAGTTCCCTGGATGTTGCCTTTGCTTTTTGTGTGGAAAAGGGAATTTAAAAACCTTTTATTTACTACTTTGTCCTTAAAACACGCTTTATTTGAGACTCCACAACAAGAGTGGGCAGCTCACCAGAAGTCAGTGCATTTCCTGGCTAGAAAGAAGTGAAATGGAAAAGTGTATAAATAGTTTGAAAAGTAGTTTCTTGTGTCTGAGTCAGGAGACAGTGATTTCCAATAAGTAGATACGTGGGCATTATTCATCTGAAGAAAAAATGTGCCCATCCAGTATCTTTGTCGAAAACTGGTTTGTCCTGGTCAAATCTGGTTAGTTGTGAAATGAGGCGCTGCAGGCTGACCTCCTAAAGGATTTACTTTGGTTGTGTTGCCTTGTAGTCTAGATAACAAAACATTTTTAAAACATTTTTTTCTTTTCTTTTCTTTTTTTTCTTTCTTTCTTTCTTTCTTTCTTTCTTTCTTTCTTTCTTTCTTTCTTTCTTTCTTTCTTTCTTTCTTTCTTTCTTTTTTTTTGGTTTTTCGAGACAGGGTTTCTCTGTGTAGCTTTGCGCCTTTCCTGGAACTCGCTTTGGAGACCAGGCTGGCCTCGAACTCACAGAGATCCGCCTGCCTCTGCCTCCCGAGTGCTGGGATTAAAGGCGTGCGCCACCACTGCCCGGCAACAAAACATTTTCATGTGTTTTATTTACTGCTTTCTAGTTTCAGAGCAGCATCATAATGAAGTCTTTTCCAGTTCTTAAAGACCAAGAAAATGAGGTTAAACAAGTTAATACTGTGCAATAACAATCACATTCAGTCACCCCAGCCCCGTAGATTGATTGATGCATAATGACAAGCTAGAGGGAAGACACAGGTGTAAAGCTTAGGATTTACTCAACAGTAGAACGTTTTTTTAGCAGGACTATACTGAAGCATTGGGTCGTGCTGCCGTCTCATGTGAGACCTAGATGGTCTCTTCTGTGGTTGTAGGTGTCTGGTGCACCAGGGGCCGGCAGCACATTTCCACACAGTTGGAGGCGGCCCCTGGCCATGGATTATACCATTTACAATCTTCAGGGGTGCACAGCTGATTTCTGACGCTGCAAGGTTTCTGCTATCTGGAGAATAGACAATGTGCTAATGATCAGTTGCCATGAGTCATCACTGAGTCCTAGTGATGGGACCGGTCAAGTCATTCACCGTAGTTCAGAGATGCCGAGCTCCAAGTGCTGGGGTGGGTGGGGCCAGGACTTCCTAACCTTTGCCTCTTCACTATGGATCCTGCTGCCCCCTTAGCAAGTGCAAACACTGACGTTTATCCAGTCAACCTGTGTCTGTGGTTAAATGTGGTGGAGTTATCCATCTATGCCTTGATTTCTAAAGAAGGGATTGGCTCGCAAGCATATTTAGCTTTTATCCGAGAAATCTTTTGATGTAGCATTTTGAATAGATACAAAGTCCTGTGGTTGTTGATGTAACCAACCGTCTTATTAAATAAGAAACACAGAAACAATGTAAAAGAGAAAGCCAAGAGGTCAGAGCTCAGAGCTAAAATCTCACTCTTCCTCCTGTTGTGTCCCAGCTTCCCGAAAGAGAGCTATTTCCTTGTGTGTCAGTCATTTCAAAGTCATTCTGCCTTCTCATTGGTTGTAAACCCAAACACGTGACTGCCTCGTCACTGTCTGTATGTACAGCCCTCTAGGTCTTAAAGGCATATGTCTCCAATGCTGGCTGTATCCCTGAACACACAGAGATCTATGGGATTAAAGGCGTGTGCCACCACCGCCATGCTCTTTCTATGGCTCTAATAGCTCTGACCCCCGGGGCAACTTTATTTATTAACATACAATCAAAATCACATTTCAGTACAATTAGAATACCACCACATGTGGTAGTAAGTTATTCCCCAAAGCTAACACTGTCAACGGGAGGTTATCTTATAGAAGACTGTGTTATACCTTCACACTGGTCCTGATGTTGGTTAAATACTAAATAGGAAGTGTGAAGGGTGATGAGGGAAGGAGCGTCTACTCCAGCCAACGATGTACATATGCGCCTCGTAAGTTCACTAAGACCTTTTTAATTATGATGAACACTGACCCCTCCTCTTCTATGGAAACTCTCCCTCAAAAACTGCCAACGAGTTGCCATTTCCCCAGTCAGTGAACTGTGGGTGAGAGATGCTGTGTCGAGCTGCGTCAGTGCCCGGGATTTCAAGCCTGTAGTACAGCCAAGCAAAGAAGCATCATGAATAGCTAACGGGAAGAAAATATTGGTTTCCAGCTGTTTCCAGGATTACATAGTCACAGAAGATGGTCGGGGGTGCAGCCTCGAAAGGACCATTTCCACTTTCCCTCCTGTCAGCCTCGTGAAGTACACATGGTTTACATTGTTACAGAGGAGCTGGTTTTTCTTTTTTCACGCGTGTGTTGCCGTAGACAGCCCATACACATTTCATATTTGCTAGCTAGATGGTTTCTGATGTTGGCTGTGACTAAGACAAATAGAATTTTACAGTAACTGCCAGTCAGGGTTTCTGCCCTACTTGTTTATTTAACAGATTTTCATTTTCTAAGGTCCCTTTTTAGACTTTCTGCTGGCTTCTTCCACCCCGAAGCCCTCATTATTTTAGTAAAATTCTGCTGAGCTCTGGGTATGAATTCGGCAGGCCTGGAGCTTAGAAAAGAAACTTGTTTCAGAAGTACAGGGCTTGCCACAGAAAGAAAAAGATACAATACTTGCTCAAGTTGGAAAAAAGGCAAAAAAAAAAATCACTTCTTTCTGTCAAGGTTTCTTAAAAATTCAGACATTTCTAGCTCAATTGCAGATCTTTCAAGAACTCACCACCTAATTTCTTTATTTGGAAGACGTGGGAACTCAGTTTGAGTGTTGACAACATGGACAGCTTAAGGACATCAGAAACCACATTCAGACCAGGGATGTTGGTCAGCAGATAAGTGAGTTGGAGCCAGTAGAGAATGCCGTCCGCCGGCATTGAGGTACTCTGTGGTCCTCTGTCATCTGGGTGAGCTCCTGTCAGCTGGGTGGTCTCCCATCTCTCCAATCCCTAGTGTCTATCCTCTTTCTTTCGTTTGCTGGAACAGAGGACCAGAGACTGAGTGTTTCTAATGAAGACTTCTTGTAGTTCTGGAAGCTGGGAAGCCTAAGATTAAAGAGCCCACACGCCTTTTCTGCTCCATCACCTGTTGGAAGCCAAAGGCAGTAGGCAATGGGAAAACAAGACTGAGCTGAAAGCCTCTAGGCCTTTTGCCTTGGCATTAGTCCACTCATGAGTGTGGCGCTCTCATAAACTAAATGCTTCCCCTTAGGCCCGGGCTCTCAGTACTGTTGCATTTGGGATTATCACATGACTTTGGGGGACACCCAGCACGCAGCACCTCTAGATCTAGCATGGCGATCTAGTGGCGTTGTTGACATTTTGGACCAGACAGCTCTTGGTCATTGGGATTGTACCCTGCACGGGAGGGTGTCTGGTGGCACCTGGTCAGCAATCAGAAATATCCAAATGCCTTCTGCAGGTGGCAGGGGCCACTTGCCCCAGTTGAGAACCACTGCTCTTGCTGGGTGACTCTCCTCACAGGGGGCAGTGACAAGTAAGAGGACACTGGAGCTGGCGATGGCAGGCAGGAGTGGGCAGGGAAGGCCACCAACAAAGGCTGCCAGTGAGACATTCTGTCCTTGCCGTTCGCTGCTACACTTCCGGTTTTAGTACAATGTCAGAAATACATATGCTTTGAGACAGGGTCTCATGTAACTCCGGCTGGCCTCAAACTTGCTAGGATGACTTTGAATTCCAGTCCCTCTTGCCTCTTTCTTCCAGACGCTAGGATGATTGCAGTTATGTGCCAGCACACCACGCTCGCTCTTAGAATCGTTTTGTTTCTTTTCCGACCAAGCTAAGACACACTGTCCCGCACTCACTGCTGCTTCCTAGCCATCGTTGCCATGCAGTCAGCTGCTTCCTGTTCCTGCTGCCCTGCTGCCCTGCCCTAGTCACGACAGCCTGCATCCTCAAAGCATGAGCCGGAACAAATCATTCCCCTCTTACGTTGCTCGTCATAGTAAGAGAGAAGCAACTAACACAGAAAGTGGGTACCAAGACATGGTGCAGTTGCTGCAACCCATCTGTCTGTGATTTGCAGGCCTTTGGGGTCGGTGTGTGGGAGACACAGAAGTGTTTAGAGCTGCAGACTACGGAGCCCAAGCACGTCACAAATCTGATTCAAAGTCGGGAATCTCAGGTCAAAAATAGAACGGTTTATTTTATTTTTTGACGAGAAGTATTTTTTAACAGTTTTCTGAAGTTCTTTGGTCATTTGTAGTCATGGTTCTGAGTTTTGTGTGTGTGTTGGAATTTGCTAATCCCCCCCTCCCCCAGCATAAATAAATTTCCTTTCAAGTTGTGTTCTCTGGGAGTGTGTGGCAACTCCTGCTCCTGTGAAATCTGCACCTAGTGAAGGCACCTGGAGTTCCTCTAGGATACGGGAAGAGGCGGCCCGCAGATAAAGAGGCTTCTGAAGACCGAGTAAGTAGCGTGTGTGACGAAGCAGCTGAGAGAAGCATCGTGCATTTGCAGAATAATTAGATTCAGACCCCACGCCTCTGTCCACAGGGCTGCGGCCATGAGATTAAACACCGGTTTTGGCTGATCAGCCTTCATGGATAGGAACTGAGTCTCAGAAACTGAATAGACAGAAGTTTTTCTTAGGACTTATAGACTGGTTCATGAAAAGCAAGAGGATGAAAGCAGTAACAACCCTATAATGTCTTATAAATGTTAAAATTAAAATTGTGCTTCAAATTCTTAGCTAAACGACCCCATGGGGATCCACAATTCTTCACACTTGTTTTTCTCAAACATTACAACAACCACAATGCTCAATAGTTTCAGGAAAACTCTATTAGTCAGTTAGTGAATGATCATTGTTTCTTTTGGTATTTTATAGGTTGGGAGATGTTGGAGGATGCAGCGAGCTCTGTTTTTGTATCACTACCTTTGCTTCTTGGGGCAATTTGGAGTCATGGCCCTCCTGTGTCTGAATTTTAGGTATTTACTCTGAATGGGGGAGGAAAAAAAATACCATCACATTATATCATGAGCTGTCACTACAATGTCTGCTGAGAAGCAGAGCGTTTGCTCTTGCTAGACACACGGGGGCAGCACAGGCAGCCAGCAAAGCAGGCAACCTGGAAAGGGTCGGAGGGACAAGGCTGTGTCACGGGCAGGGAGGAATCCAGACATGCGCTGTACAGCTGGGGACCAGCCCGGCTTCCCGCTCCTCACTGAAAAAAACAAACAAACAAAAAAACCGGTCTAGGAAACTTTGCTCTCCGTTTCTCGTGATTTAATCAAGATTGAGGTTGGAATCTAGGCTTTTAGAGAAATCAGAATTCTCAAGTCTGTTACTTTAACACAAACTTTTGGCTGGTAGCTTTCCCCAGTAATCTTATTTGAGATGGCTCCCGTGAGAATGTTTAATTAGGACCCCCATTTTCTGGGGTGAACGGAGCCCCTGTAAGCTGAGCTTTACACTAGGACTTGTGTTGCTAGTTTCTTCTCTTAAAGCGAGCCTTTACTGAGGGTGAATTTCTCAGTGGTTAAACACACCGTGCACAGGCAACATTCTCCTGGCCACAGAGTGGGAATCTGCAGGTTCTCCAGTGGAGTGCAAATCTGGAATGTCACTGGGCACCCAACAGGGAGTTTGGATTTCAGAGTCTGCATGGGAGATCTATGTGGCGCACTGTAGGTGAGTTTTGAAGTTATGCACACATTCTGAGTATTAAACGGTTCTGACCTCTATCAGAGAAGTGTTAAACAGAAGGCTCTACTCTGACTTAGCAATTATGTATGTTAAGTGGAGAAATCAGTGTTCATAGCTTTTGACTTTATAAAAGGCGTTTAGTGTGCTCTGTTGAGAATGGCAGAACTGGGCTGGAGGATGGATGATTCAGTTGGTAAAGTGTTCGCCATTCAAGCACAAAGGCCTGACTTGGGTACCAATAACCCACACAAAAAGCTGGGCATGCATTCGCAATTCAATCCTAGTGTTGGGGAGACAGCCACAGGTGGACCCCTGGGACTCACCGGCCAGCACGAGCAGTGAGCCTAATTGGGTGGGGAGCCTCAGGCCGGTGAGAGACCCTACCTCAAAGAAGAAAAACCAAACCAAACTAAGGTGGACATCCCAAGGATAAACAATACCAGAGCTTGTCCTCTGGTGTCTATGTACACACACACACACACACACACACACACTGAAAAACAGCAGAATATGACCCAGATCCACCGGATTAAACAAATGGTTCCACCAGAGGTGAAGACATGTGATGGAGTATTTATTTCAAAGACCTGACATTGGCCTAAAACAACGAATTACCACTTTAAGATGCAAATTTGAAAATCCTCACACTGCCAGAGTCTGAGGCAAAAATCTAGGGGGAACAATGCAATCAGGTCAGAACACTTCTTCGCCTTCTTTTGTTTCTTCCCAGTGACCTGGGAGTGTCTGCTCTGCACTCAGGAATGTGTCTGAGCTTTCTGAACTCCAGGGCAACCAGAGGGAGTGGGGCAGGGATCAGAGTGGCTGGCTGGAACTCGGGAAAGGGGGCTTGTTTTTCACCCGGCATGTCCATTTTCTTTCCCTTTGTAAGAGTTATCGGCCTCCATCTTCAGAGCCGTCACATTTAAACTGACATTTGTCAGGGGCTGGGCAAGATCTTGCTACACAAAACCTGTGTAAAATCCTTCTGCTTTGTAAGCTCTAAAGTCGGGGCCTCACATGGGGTAAACAGAGACTGTGGGGCCAAGCATTGGTCTCTCGTATTTGAATCAGTTCCTCTTCCTTCCTTCCTGGAATGTGGCTTGACATTTTGAATTCCTACTAAATCTCTGGGTACACTCAGAGACCTCAAAAAGCTCTGGAGAGAGCAAACATCCTCCTGTTCTTGGCAGGAGAAGAAACGGATGCTTGTGTGGCTTGAAGGCTCAGCTGTTGGGGGGAAGAGAACCAGTGAACCTGGGCTGCCAGAAAAAAAAAAATCTCAGCGCAGATTTGAAATGGCACATTTGCACTTGAAAGTAGCTAGCAAAGGAAGCCCTACAGGAAAGACAGGGGAACTGGGGCTCTTTGGCTTTGGGGGTACTCTGTGTCCATTCTCTGTTTCTGAGGTCACGGTAGCTCTACGTAGCCACTGCTTCTGGGGCCCCACTTAAGTGTCAGGGGTGGGCTCTGATTAGTTTATGCTAACTAATAGGCTAACGACTTTGTTCTATTAACCAGTTCTCCTCATGGATGACCTACAATCAGGTCTGTAAGTCATGGCATGCCAGAGTTTTGATGTGACTTCTGACAAGACACTCGTCCCACACAGAAGCCACGGAGAGAGCTCAGGAAGTTGGTCATCATCGCTGAGCTGGGAACTTCACTTCCGGCCCACTCCCCAGTCTCCAGACCCGGCTCTTAGAAAACCCACAAGCAGCAGCTCCTCCTCCGGAGCCAATCAAGACCAGGCCTACAGAGTACTGAAGCCCTGGTCCATAGACTTGCCACGTGATTTCCCCTCCCCTTAGGTCACCCAGGGATGCTTTGCTCATTAAACCTGGACTTTCAATTCGGCTTAATTGGCTTATTGTACAGGTGGAGTTACCCACTACTGGGGGATTTCAAAATACTTATCAGTGATCATCATTCTGAATATAGTGGAGGACAGAATTCAGAATTAAGAGAAAGGACTGGGAATCATGATCCAATTGGACCCAAGAGTGTTTTAGTTCTGGACTTTGGATAAGGAACCAATAATCCCTATTGCTAAAGGGAGGCTGAAGTAAATTTTGTCACACGGTTTCCAACTACCATGTGGCATCCGCGATACAGCACCTATCTGTATGGTAGCTGAGGGAGTATCGTTGTTTCCTGAGAGTTCTTGTTTCAAAGGAAACAGCCCTTTTACAGAGCTTGGCACCAGACTTCCCGTCTTTAACTTTGTCACCAAAGTGCCACAAAGAACAACAAGGTAGGGCCTCGATAAAAGAAACAAGCCAGGCGTCAAATGCAGCATATTTTAATTTGTTTCAAATAAAGCAATATATGTTTATATATATATTTATATATATTTCAGAAAAACACGGGATGTTAATTTCTACAAAAGCACATGTGTCTTCAGCAGATCACGTTTGTCTGACCAACGTCTCAACATTAACTCTCTAAAGGACAACCAATGGATGGACGTCACGGCTACCACACAGGTTGCTAACTGAGCCTCTGATCTTCAGCCACATCTTGATTTTTTTTTTTTTCTTCCTAACGACGGGTAAATACTGCCTGGCTAAAATGATGCGAAGTCTGGATGAGGAGAAGCGACAACAGGTCAAGCAGAGCCACGGGAGTCACGAACGAAGCAAGCTAGAGCAGACTATTGGGATTAGTAAAAATGATCGAGAGAGAGAGAACGACACCGACATACGGGACTTGTCTATTCCGACTGTATACTCTCTTTTGGCAGCGAATGGGGGGTCAGCACCTCAGGTGGGGAAGCGGAAACCAGGCCAAAGCCTGATCTTTTTCTTTCCCAGCTCAGGCCACCAACGTCACAGCTGGGACCGAGAGAACCGTGGCCTCTGTGGAAACTTCTATTCTCGTGGGGCAAAGATTGCACTGTGAAACCCGACCCACATGACCGCGGAAGGGCCTGGCTTCTGAGCTGTCTGCCGCGTGCTGCCTTCGACGGGGCTTTTCAGAGTGTGCAGGGGCCTCCGGGGCCTTGGTCCCCGAGGGGGCCTCCTGGTTTTTGACTCCGCCTTTGTTTTTGGGACGGAAGCCGTTGTGCGGCGGTCTTCTGTGTTCATGGCGGTTGTTGCTCTTCACCATGGGGTCAGCTTCGTTCCCGCCGCCCTGGGACTTGGCCGGACCGTTTAGTCGGTTGTGATACTGCGGATTAAACCTTCGTCTTTGGCTTCCATTCTGCTAAGGAGAGAAAGGAAGTTAAGGGTCCGAAGCCGACAAACCACAGAAGACCCCAGTAGGTAGCAGGAAAACCGACTCCCTACATCACAGATGAAAGTTTTTTCCAACAGCATGCAAACAGGCAAAGCTGACATAATTCTTAGTCTAGCACCGCCGTCTTATAAACGGAACTGGAAGAAAATGACTCATCTTCAAAGAGACGATGAGGAGGAGGGAGGGAGGAAGAGGCAGAGTGCTTATTCTGGCCGGATGTCTCCCTGGTCTCACTGACCCCTCACTCTGCAGGAAGGAGACGATGTGGGACCCCTAACAGTTACTCTGAGACACAGGGCCCTTCCTGGGTGCTGCTCTTCACCGTTTTGCTTAGATATGTCCTGTGCATTTATAGGGTGCTCCCTCTCAAACCACTACGTTAGAGCTCATGAAGCCCCTCGGGACCACAGAAATGCCTGGCAGCGTCCACAGTGGGAACCCCTAAAGGCCAAGAGAAGGAGACTCCACAGGTCATCTGCTGGCAAGCCAGTGGTTTGAAATACAGAAAAAGAAAGTTGCAGAGATCATGAAAGCGGTCTGTGTAGTATGCTCAACACCCATGTCACCAAATCCCATTTCTTATTCATTTCGTAACCACAGGCTACTAATTCCCTCTCAGGAACAGGAGAGAGGTGGAAGATTGTTCTTTGAAAAGTTGTTCTTTTTTTTGGGGGGGAGGGGATTTGAGACAGGGTTTCTCTGTGTAACAGGCCTGGCTATCCTGGAACTTCCTCTGTAGACCAGGCTGGCCTCAAACTCACAGAGATCCACCTCCTGAGTGCTGGGATTAAGGCGTGTGCCACCACCGCTCAGAGAAAAGTTGTATTTTAGAGGCTAATGGAAGATAGGTATGAATCAAGTCAGTTTGAAATGTGTGAGCTTGACTGAAATTCCAAGACAAGTCTTGCCTACCTTTGATCTGTTACTGATTCTCCAAACCTAAGTAGGAACTTTTTTTAAATTTTTTTTTTTTTAAAGGTGTGCACCACCACCGCCCGGCTTTTTTTTTTTTTTTTTTAAAGATTTATTTATTTATTATGTATACAGTGTTCTGCCTGCATGTATGTCTGCAGGCCAGAAGGGGGCACCAGAAGGCGTTATAGATGGTTGTGAGCCACCATGTGGTTGCTGGGAATTGAACTCAGGACCTCCGGAAGAGCAGCCAGTGCTCTTAACCTCTGAGCCATCTCTCCAGGCCAACTTTTTTTTTTTTTTCTTTAATCGTAAATAACAACAATCACCACTCTTCCTCTCCTTAATGGTTTCAGGGGTCTGTCCAGGACCTGGATATGCTGGCAAGTCGGGTACGAGGGGACCTGTCTCCATGAGGTGAACGAGGTGACATGGTGGAACACACTCAGGCAAGAGAGCCTATGAGGCGTGACTGGGTGAGGCCAGGCAGCCAGTGCTGCTGGAGCAGGAGGGAGCCTGGGCAGGAGCATTAGCTCAGTGGCTGGAAGTTGTTACTGCCTTCCTCTGGGAACGGATGGAGGTTTCCTTGCGGGCACACGGGTGTCTGCTGAGACCCTGCACACAGCTCAGACCCTGCACGCAGCGCCGGTGAGGCCCTCCCCAAGCGGCTTACCTGCTTGTTAGCCGGCACGGTCTGGTGACAAGCATCGGCCGTGCTGGGAAGACCGCTCACCATTTTGGGGTTTGCCACCTTCCCCTCGGAGGGCTTGTTGTGATTGGATGGTTTGCGGGCGAAGTTCCCTTGTTTCCCGGAAGTGGCTGCGTGCGCGTGCGCGTTGAGCAGAGGCAGCAGGGAGCTGCACGGGGTCCTGGAGGAGTAGCTGTTCTTTGGATGTGTGACTGTAACAAGGAACGGTTTGGGGTTACGGGCTGTGCCAAGAGGACCGCCGCCCGAGGAGCCATTAGAAAGTGCTAGAAGAGGAAGAAAATTGGCAGGAGCTCCGAACAAGCATTAAGGGCCACTCTTTAAGATGGAGTCGGAAAGGACACCTTGGTGCTTAGAGAGACCACCACATTTCTCCTGTGGGACTCCACGATGAGAGGCATTTGCAGGAACGAGGACATATCTGAGCGACTTAACGATTATTCTGTAGGTCAGGAACCACCATGGACAGGGAGATAATGACACGGTGATCTTCCCTCTCTGGCTCATCCCTAAATGGATTCTGCCTCTTAGATCCTCCATTACCCGGCCCATTGGCACTGCCCTTATCGGGTTCTACATACTATTCGGTGCTGCACACGTCAGGATGGAGAGGCTGACAGAGCCCCGTGTTCTGAGAGCGTGGGCGTGGGTGGATATTATGGGTTAGGAATTTGTTGCTCTGGGTCATGAGTATCCCTGACCCGAGGGCAGGCCTGCGAGTCCCATGCATCTTCCATACCTCACTAAGGCCACCCGAACCGGTCTTTAACTGCAGGTCTGCATCATTCCTAGTGCGACGTGCATGCCAGGCGGATCAGGCAGCTCCCCCGCCAGGCGCACATTCGGGTCAGGCAGGTCTGCTCAATGCTTATTATTGCCAGTTCTGTTGTTTTTGAAAGTGGTGGTTTCGGGCGGGATGATTTCTCTGTGATTATGCTGAATCGAGGCCAGGGGGAATCAATTCCAGGATAAAGCCGTGACTGCTCTCCCAGCTCACTGGGATTCAGCGGCCAGGCTGGACAGAAAGACCTTCTTCTGAATTTTTAAAATTGTCACCGATTTTTAAAAGCAATTTTCTCTGTTCCCTTTGTCGGATCAGACTTAATCCCAGGGTTTGGCAAGAGGATTAGGAATGGCCAGTGGGGCTCACAGAATGTCAGAAGTAGAGAGGACAGGGATGTAGCTCCAGCCCCTTCCTATTGGGGGTAAGGTGTGTGACAAATAATCCCGGGCTGTCCAAGCACAGCCAGGGGATTTCAGCAGCCCCCAAGCTCACCAGCTTCAGTTGCCCGGGGGTCATTATCTCCCGTTTCCACTTCTGGTTCAGCGGCTGCAGCAATACACCCTCCACGAAGGGTTTTCGTGAGGATTACTGTCACAAACACTTGAGGCTGGCTGTCCTCCTTTATGCGGAGGACACTCGTCATTTGGTAAGGGGCGCTTTCTCTCACTAGCCGGGGCACCTGGAGGAAAGCGAGTGACGTGCCCCTCCCCCACCAGAGCTGGGCGACCTGGCTTGGCGGCTCACCTATCATCTGATTCAAAGAGAACCTAGGATGGGCAGGTTCCTCCCCAGACGTCAACCAAACTGTGTGTCTGGAGAAGGGCCAGTAGGGAGGCTCTGCCATAAAGGAGGTAGGTAGCACATGAAGAAAAAACTGGAAGGGACAGCGGGACAATCAGATGGCAGACAAAGACCTGCCAACAGGAGGCCCTCAGCACTGTTTTCTGGTGCACAACGGGGAAGTTATTTAAAGGCTACCTACCACCCGAGGACTGGGCACATCAGTGGTCAGCCAGACATACTGACGTGGAAAAATGCCCAGCATCTATTGTGACAAAAGTGCCTCGTATGACGACACATGTACGGGAAGTGTAATCCGTGGACAGGACATACATGGAAATATAAAGGTGACCCGAAAGTAATGTCACATGCTCGTCAACACAACATGGTGATTTTTAGACCAAGTCGATACACTGTTTTACTCAGAGGAAAA